ACCGATGGGCCCAATCTTGGGGTTCACCCTGCAATAGTGAAATTAAAAATCCCACTTTCACTGATTCCGTTAGGAAGGTGCGGGGTTGCAATTCAAAAAACAGGAGGCAGGAATCCCGAAAAGACCTGAAGCGTGTTCGGTCCCCGTGAAAACGCTCAGGCAGTGGTACTCGGGGTTCCACCCTCGGTAGAGGAGCAGAGGCCCCTGAAGCTGGCCCCAGAGCTTCTTCCACCGGGGGGAGCGGAAACAGGGGCCTGTGGAGCAGGCCAGATGCAGAGCGGGTCTGGAAACGGTTTTTCCAGGTGCGTGCATTTGTCCTGCAAGGTTTGCCACAGCCTGTGTCAGGGCTGATAGGTGCCTGCAAATATCTCCCAGCGGGGCTGACCCTCCTCCAGGCTCAGTCATGGCCTTCTGGTACTGTAAGGGACCACCAGGCGGTACCACTAGCACTCCACTGGCCAGGCGTCCCCAGCGCACGGTATCTAAGCCCCAGGGTACGTGTTCACCAGAGCCCCTGATGGTTGGGGATGGACTTGAAGTACCCCGAGACCAGGTCGTGGCTACTGAGCACGCACCCGTCAGTGGTGGTGGTAGCGGTATTCGCCAGGGGCTCCCGCAGGGAGAGAGCCTGATGTGAGGAGGTCGGGTGATCCCGTCGGGATGGATGGATGGCTGAGCAAGTGCGGGGTCAAACGGGCCGGGTCGGTAACAGTGGGGGACGGAGCAGTACAAGGCAGCGGGCAGAGAGTAGTCGGGTCACACGCCAGGTCAGCAACGGTCGAAGGTCAGATCCAAACAGGGGCATTCAGGAGAGAGGTCAGGCAAAGCAAGGGTCTGGGCAGGAGAAGGCAACAAGGTCAGGTATAATCCGGGTCAATAACTTACTAGAACAGGTTCGCAGATACAGGATACAAAGGGAGACCAGAAGGCACTTTGAATGACAGCTCAGGGCCGTTTAAATATCCCGCCCTGCGCTGCCATTGGTGCCACGCGCGGCGCGCCCGCGGTCCCCACTGCGCATGCGCGAACTCCCTCGCCGCGGACGGCCAGGTCTCAGTGCCCGCATTCTGACAAGGAGCGGTGCACTGCGCCCTGCGCCGAGCCCGTCGCAGCGGGGATTCCCTGACATTCTGCCCCTGTCCTTTGCTGTTCCCTCACCAAGCGAAGTATCGCATGCTGTGGGCTCAGCCCCACTGTACAGTGAGGAAGAGCTAACAGAGGGCGGTCAGGAACGGGGGGGAGACATCCGCCTCTTCAGCAGCCAGGCGAAGAAGTACTGGCGAGAAGAGTGGCTCGGTAGCCAGTCTAGAGACAGGTCTGTCTCCTGACCCACACGCAGCCGAGGGGGCTAGTAGTGAGGCGGAGACCCTAATTGATGATGAGGAGGCTGATCGCACTTGGCAGCCTCGTCGTCATCAGGCAATTTCTTCCGCATCATCAGGAGAAGAGGGTGCCAGCTTGGCAGCGAGCAAAACAGTCGGTGGGTTGCCCAGGAGGCAGCAGGGTCGCAGCTAGTGTCAGTGGAGGCAAACGGCCACGGAGTAGAGCACCAGCTCCACTGCAGCCTACCACCACGGCCAGTAGTGGTGCCGGTGTGCACGGAGGAAGTAGTAAGTCCAGCCAGTGAGGAGTAGCGGGGGCAAAGTTTCCTACTCGGCGGTGTGGGCAATTTTTCCTCAAGCCGCCCGCGAGGAAGTAAACGTAGCCGTATGTCGACTATGTGGCCAGAAAGTCAAGCGTGGCCAGGGGGCCCATGTTGGGACTACAGCGTTGCGTCAGCATATGCAGCGTCGCCATTTCGCCATTTGGTGGCCTGGGAAAACCGTGATAAAGATACGGCGGTTCTGCCTGCCCCAGCCCCCGCTCCATCACCCGCTCCGTTACTTGCTCCGTCACCCGACGACGTCAATCGCCCTCTATCAGCCAGTCAAGGCTCCAACACCTCTGCTGAGGGGAGTTGTCGCTCGTTGGCATCTTCCGCTCGTTCAGATGCTCCTTCTCCTGCTACTCCTCTTCACGGATTCCGTCAGCAGTCTCTTTCTTGGAATCCGTTTCCAAGAGACAACAGTTTGCGAGCACGCACCCGACGGTGCAAAAGCTGAACGTCTCTCCTGTCCAAGTTGCTGGTGCTGCAGTCCCTCCCCTTTCCAAGTGGTGGACTCAGCACCTTTCCGAGAAATGATGGCTTGTGCCGCGCCGCGGGTGGAGAGTGCCAAGCCGGCATTTCTTCGCCAAAAAGGCAGTGCCAGCCCTGCATTCACATGCAGAAGAGATGGTGGGCCAGACTTTGACCATGTCGGTCTCTGCCAAAGTGCACGGCAGCGCCGACGTGTGGAGCTGTAACTACGGTCAGGGGACAGTACATGTCATTTACGGCCCACTGGGTGAACGTGGTGCCGGCACAGCCGCACCAGCAACTTGGACAGGTCACGACGCTTTTGCCTCCACGTTTGCACGTCCTTGGTCCAGCAAAGATGTCCGCCTCTACCACCTCTTCTTCCGCCGTGTCCTCAGCCGCCACCCCCGTGCCAAGTCCCATTACCCGACGGCATATCACATGTGCAGGGCGCAACGGTGTCACGCTGTGCTGCACCTGGTATGCCTTGGCGAACGTAGTCACACAGGGGGAGGAACTTCTGAGTGTAATGAACAGAGAAATCGACAGATGGCTGTCTCCACGCAAACTGAAAATCGGAACCATGTTGACCGACAACGGAAAGAACATGGTGTCTGCTCTGCGTCAAGGAAGGTTGTGCCATGCGCCATGCATGGCTCACGTGTTCAATCTGGTTGTCAAGCGGTTCCTAAAATCCACCATCCCACTGCAAGACATCCTTAAAATGTCACGTAAACTTTGCATGCATTTCAGCCATTCCTACACCGCAAAGCACACCCTCCTTGAGCTGCAGCGGCAGAACGGAATTCCACAGCATCGCCTGATCTGCGACGTTGCAACAAGGTGGAATTCAACCCTACACATGTTAGACCGCCTTTTACGAACAGCAAAAGGCCATCACCGATTTCCTGATGTTACAAGCGGATAAAGGTACTCCCCTGTGTAACTTCGATGTCAGCCATTGGCAGCTCATGCGTGACACCTGCCGCTTGCTCAGGCCCTTTGAGGAGGGCCACGCTATTCGTGAGTCGTCAGGACTATGGGATGAACGACGTCATTCCTCTGTTGCATGTCCTGGAACAAATGCTGTTAACAATGGCTGGTCAGGGTGCGGTAGACGTGGCGCACAGATCTCAACGCCACATGACCCCTGTGGGGGCAGGGACAGGAAGAAGAGGAGGAGGTAGAGGAGGACATTGGTGCTCAGGAATTATTGAGTGAAATGGGTGGTTTTTCCACTCAGCGGACAGGAGTGGAGGAGCAGGAGCATCTGGTAGAGAGGAGGAGGAGGAGACAGAGGACCCAGACGCACCGTGGCAGTATGCTGTGGAGATGGAGGCAGGGAGTCCCTCGCATTCCTTGGCACAAATGGCCCATAGCATGCTCGGTTGCTTGCGTAGCGACAGCAGAATAATAACCATCAGACAGAGGGATGACTTTTGGCTGTGTCCACCTTGTTGGACCCTCGCTACCGTTCCAAAATGGTGGCCTTTTTCACACACTGCTGAGAGGGAGGCCAAAATAACGTACTATAAAAAACCACCTATGTAGTCAGTTGGTCTCTGCCTTTGTGCGCCAACGTCCATCCTCAGACACTGTGGGCCCTGTGCGCTCGTGTTCCGCTGCCATGGCAGCAGGGGAGGGGTGGGGTGGTAGGAGCAGTGTGGCAGCTCCACCAGCAGCGGCTGCCTCAGTCTGCAGTCGATGATGAGTAGCTTTCTTCACCAGCGCAGTGAGGAAACTACTAACCAGCCGCAGCAGCAGCAGCATCAGGTGGACCTGGAGCAGGAGCTCAAACAACAGGCTTGGGCCTACTTGGACAGTACCCTGCCAACCGAGGTAGACAATCCCCTTGACTACTGGGCAACGAAACTTGACCTTTGGCCCCAACTAGCTGAATTTGCCCTTGAAAGGCTGTCATGCCCGGCCAGTAGCGTGGCATCGGAGCGCGTGTTTAGTGCGGCAGGAGGTATTGTAACTCCGCGGAGGACACGACTGTCCACCCAAAGTGTGGAGAGACTCACGTTTGTGAAAATGAATCAGGCGTGGATTAGTCTGGATTTCAAACCACCAGTTCCTGACACAACTGACTAAATCCGCCATGAATCATGCCCCTGCCATGTGCCACTTTCAGGTCTCCTCACACTGCTGCTGGCTTCCATTTTTGTCATAGGGTGCTGGCAGATTACGGGCCTCCCATTGCTGCTGCCAGGCCTGTAATCTGCCATGGGCCCTGTACCGCCTCCTCATGCTGCTGCCAGGTCCAGAGTGTCTCATGGGTCCCTGTACGGCCTCCCCATTGCTGCTGTCTCCATCGTCACACTCTGCCATGTGCCACTTTCAGGTCTCCTCACACTGCTGCTGGGTTCCATTTTGTCATAGGTTTGCTGGCAGATTACGGGCGTCTCCCATTGCTGCTGCCAGGCCCCTAATCTGCATGGGCCCCTGTACCGCCTCTCCTCATGCTGCTGCCAGGTCCACAGTGTCTCATGGGTCCCTGTACCGCCTCCCATTGCTGCTGTCTTCATCGCCACACTCTGCCATGTGCCACTTTCAGGTCTCCTCACACTGCTGCTGGGTTCCATTTTGTCATAGAATGCTGGCAGATTACGGGCCTCCCATTGCTGCTGCCAGGCCCCTAATCTGCCATGGGCCCCTGTACCGCCTCCTCATGCTGCTGCCACGTCCACAGTGTCTCATGGGTCCCTGTACCGCCTCCCATTGCTGCTGTCTCCATCGCCACACTCTGCCATGTGCCACTTTCAGGTCTCCTCTCACACTGCTTCTGGGTTCCATTTTGTCATAGGTTGCTGGCAGATTATGGGCGTCTCCCATTGCTGCTGCCAGGCCTGTAATCTGCCATGGGCCCCTGTACCGCCTCCTCATGCTGCTGCCAGGTCCACAGTGTCTCATGGGTCCCTGTACCGCCTCCCATTGCTGCTGTCTCCATCGCCACACTCTGCCATGTGCCACTTTCAGGTCTCCTCACACTGCTGCTGGGTTCCATTTTGTCATAGGTTGCTGGCAGATTACGGGCGTCTCCCATTGCTGCTGCCAGGCCCCTAATCTGCCATGGGCCCCTGTACCGCCTCCTCATGCTGCTGCCAGGTCCACAGTGCCTCATGGGTCCCTGTACGGCCCTCCCATTGCTGCTGTCTCCATCGCCACACTCTGCCATGTGCCACTTTCAGGTCTCCTCACACTGCTGCTGGGTTCCATTTTGTCATAGGGTGCTGGCAGATTACGGGCCTCCCATTGCTGCTGCCAGGCCCCTAATCTGCCATGGGCCCCTCTACCGCCTCCTCATGCTGCTGCCAGGTCCACAGTGTGTCATGCCATGTGCCACTTTCAGGTCTCCTCACACTGCTGGTGTGTTCCATTTTGTCATAGAGTGCTGGCAGATTACGGGCCTCCCATTGCTGCTGCCAGGCCCCTAATCTGCCATGGGCCCCTGTACCGCCTCCTCATGCTGCTGCCAGGTCCACAGTGTCTCATGGGTCCCCTGTACCGCCTCCCATTGCTGCTGTGTCTCCATCGCCACACTCTGCCATGTGCCACTTTCAGGTCTCCTCACACTGCTGGTGGGTTTCCATTTTGTCATAGGGTGCTGTATGGCCTTTTTCCCATTGCTGCTGCTAGGCCCGTAATCTGCCATGGGCCCCCGTACCGACTGCTCATGCTGCTGCCAGGCCCGTAATCTGTCATGGGCCCCTGTTGTCGCTTGTTGGCATATTTCCGCTCGCTCAGATGCTCCTTCTCCTGCTACTCCTCTTCACGGATTCCGTCAGCAGTCTTTCTTGGAATCCGTTTCCAAGAGACAACAGTTTGCGAGCACGCACTGTGGGACCGACGGTGCAGTAAAGCTGAACGTTCCTCCTGTCCAAGTTGCTGCTGCCAGGCCCGTAATCTGTCATGCGCCCCCTGTACCGCCTCCTCATGCTGCTGCCAGGTCCAGAGTGTGTGTCATGGGCCCCCCGTACCGACTCCTCATGCTGCTGCCAGGCCCGTAATCTGTCATGGGCCCCTGTACCGCCTCCTCCATGCTGCTGCCAGGTCCAGAGTGTGTCATGGGTCCCTGTACGGCCTCCCATTGCTGCTGCCAGGCCGTAATCTGCCATGGGCCCCCGTTACCGACTCCTCATGCTGCTGCCAGGCCCGTAATCTTTCATGGGCCCCTGTACCGCCTCCTCATGCTGCTGCCAGGTCCACAGTGTCTCATGGGTCCCTGTACGCCTCCCATTGCTGCTGTCTCCATCGCCACACTCTGCCATGTGCCACTTTCAGGTCTCCTCACACTGCTGCTGGGTTCCATTTTGTCATAGAGTGCTGGCAGATTACGGGCCTCCCATTGCTGCTGCCAGGCCCCTAATCTGCCATGGGCCCCTGTACCGCCTCCTCATGCTGCTGCCAGGTCCACAGTGTCTCATGGGTCCCTGTACCGCCTCCCATTGCTGCTGTCTCCATCGCCACACTCTGCCATGTGCCACTTTCAGGTCTCCTCACACTGCTGGTGGGTTTCCATTTTGTCATAGGGTGCTGTATGGCCTCCCATTGCTGCTGCCTCCACCGCCCACACTGTGGCTCCACACTCTGGTTTTGGCCCCGTGACTGCCCCAATGAGTGAAGTGTGCGGTGATTCTAAGATCGACGGCACTCATCTGCATGTCATACTGACTGACAGTATTATTTCTCTTCCCAGCAGACTCCAAGGGCATTTAAATTAAAGGTACAGTGTTCTGCACTAATATAAAGGCTCTCTGAAGCCTAGAAAAACACCCTTTTATAAGTTAAATTCGCAGCGAATATAATCGACTCGAATCAAAATTTTTCACGAATTCACCGAATCAGTCGAATCGAATTTTTGAATAATTCGCTCATCTCTAGCTGTAATATTTAGGAATAACTCACTGAAATCTGTCCGAACAAGAGTCTATTAAACATCCCGGGTATGATAAAATTTGAAACACAAAATCATAAATTATAATTTAATAAATAATCATAAAAAAATAATAATATAATAATATTACATTTAATTCAATAATATAATCAAACCAAAAACACTGAAATTTGAAAATATAGAGCCAAGTTCGCACATTGCTGAGCAAAGTCGCAAAATTGTTTTCAGTGTCTGATGACGAATTTCTCCACGAATCATTATCACTCAATTCTGCAAGTGGTTTCTGATTTACTATCGCTGTTCTCTAGCTGATCTAACCGCTTTTGACCTAAAGGGACGCTTTATGGACGCCGTGGACTTTTCTAAGTTTCCAGGCAGAAAGAAAGACATTCAAAATGCAGACAGGGGGACAGGACAGAGCACTAGGGACAAAATGTATGTGAAATGGGTTGAAACAGCAATGTTTTACTATGAAAAATCGTTTTGAAAAAAATTAATTTTTTTTTAAATTTTCAAATTTCCCGCCGCCGGCGGCGCCCGTACGTCCCGATGTCACAGGGACCGGAACACAGGAGCCGGATGCCAGCATCTGCTGGAGGAGATGGCCGGGGACGCTGCAGGGGACACACCGCGGGAGCGAAGGACAAGGTAAGTGCTGCAGGGACTCCCTATGCAGCGCTGCATGGTAAGCCCGAGTGTAGCTCGGGGTTACCGCTTTTGGTATAGAAATTTTACCCCGAGCTACACTCGGGAATACCGCTAGGGAGGTTAACCTGTTCCCACTGGCTATACACATATTATCTGGGCAAGGGGACTTTAACACTGAGCGGCCACACACACGCATCTATGAGGAAAAGCTTTTCTGTGCTGAGAGTGCACTCACTGCATGCTCCCAGTGCAGTACCTAAGCTGTGATGTGCAGCTCATGATGCATACTTGCGATCAGGAGCTCCTGAGCATGTGACTGCTGTGACAGCCAATCACAGCTTTCACAAGATCTGAAAGCTCACCTGTGTCTTCCAGCATTTAGATCATCTTAAAGGCTTGAAGGCAACCCAAGAGGGTAAAGATTATTCCATATAATACACTCACCAGCCACTTTATTAGGTACACCTTACTACCCGGTGTGGTCTTCTGCTGCTGTAGCCCATCTGCTTCAAGGTTCAAAGTGTATGCATTCAGAGATGGTATACTGCATACCTTGGTTGTAAGGAGTGGTTATTTGAGTTACTGTTGTCCTTCTCGAACCAGTCTGCCCATTCTCCTCTGACCTCTGACATCAATAAGGCATTTTTGTCCACACAACTGCAGCTCACTAGATATTTTCTCTTTTTTTGGGCCATTCTCTGTACCCTAGAGATGGTTTGTGTGTGAAAATCCCAGTAGATCAGCAGTTTTTGAAATACTCAGACCAGCCCGTTTGGCACCAACAGCCATGCCACGTTCAAAGTCACTTAAATCCCCTTTCTTCCCCACTCGGATTGCTCTGTTTGAACTTTAGCAAATCATCTTCACCACATCTAGATGCCTAAATGCATTGAGTTGCTGCCATGTGATTGGCTTATTAGCAGTTTGTGTTACCAAGCAATTGAACAGGTGTACCTAAATAAAGTGGCCGGTGAGTGTATCTTTGTAATTCAATATATGTATTAAACTTACAATGAAATGTATTCTGTCTGCAGTTTTTCTCCAAATTCTGTGAATAGGATAAGACCTCTGTGAACAATCCACCATAGTATATATCAGAAAAACTGGCTGTGTCTTGTGGTGTTGAAAGTTTTGCCACTAAATGTTTCCCAGATGTACTTCTGTTCTTCCAAGTGTAGCAGTATGACCATGGCACTATCACATCTTTTGCTTTAACTGATGTCATATGCAGATCAAAAGTTATACTTTTGATATACTGTACATATGAATGAAATAATAAATAAAGTGTTACAATTAGAGATGAGCGAATTTCTCAAAAATTCGATTCGGCTGATTCGGCGAATTCCAGTGTGAAATTCGATTCGATGCGAATTTCTTCGCTACGAAGTTAACTTATTAAAAGGGTTTCTAGGCTTCAGAGAGCCTTTAAATTAGTGCAGAACACTGTACCTTTAATTTAAATGCCCTTGGAGATGAGGAAGGAGAAGGAGAAGGAGAAGGAGAAGGATGAGAAGAAGGAGAAGGATGAGAAGAAGGAGAAGGAGAAGGATGAGAAGAAGGAGAAGGATGAGAAGAAGGAGAAGGAGAAGGATGAGAAGAAGGAGAAGGAGAAGGATGAGAAGAAGGAGAAGGATGAGAAGAAGAGAAGGAGAAGGATGAGAAGAAGGAGAAGGAGAAGGAGAAGGATGAGAAGAAGGAGAAGGAGAAGGATGAGAAGATGGAGAAGGAGAAGGATGAGAAGAAGAGAAGGAGAAGGAGAAGGATGAGAAGAAGGAGAAGGAGAAGGATGAGAAGAAGGAGAAGGAGAAGGATGAGAAGAAGGAGAAGGATGAGAAGAAGGAGAAGGAGAAGGATGAGAAGAAGGAGAAGGATGAGAAGAAGGATGAGAAGAAGGAGAAGGATGAGAAGAAGGATGAGAAGAAGGAGAAGGATGAAAGAAGGAGAAGGAGAAGGATGAGAAGAAGGAGAAGGATGAGAAGAAGGAGAAGGATGAGAAGAAGGAGAAAGGATGAGAAGAAGGATGAGAAGAAGGAGAAGGATGAGAAGAAGGAGAAGGATGAGAAGAAGGAGAAGGATGAGAAGAAGGATGAGAAGAAGGAGAAGGATGAGAAGAAGGACAGTTCTGTGACAGTTTCTGTCTATTTCTGACAGTTCTGGGACATTTCACATCCATACAGCGGTTTCAACCGCTGTATGGAGGGGAATGTCATAGAACTGTCAAAATAGACTATTTCTAACAGTTCTGCGGGACACCTCACTCCATACAGCGGTTGAAACA